CAGTTGGGTTCCTTCCTTGTCAGAACGTTGTACATAAAATAAGTTGCAATGATTGTGAGGCTTCGTAGGACAGACAAAAAGACAACTAGGAACACAAATGAAAAAACAAAAGTAATATCAGACATGATCCGTCTAGACACACAGTCATCTCACAACATATTTTAGAGAATAACTATAATTTTGATTAGGAAGGCATTAAAATTTTAGATATTGTTACGTATTTAGTAGTAACCATTTAGATATTTTCGCATTTTTTAATTATTGTGTTTTCGCGTTCGCGGAATGTCGCCTATTTATCTTACGACCCGCGGTTTGGCGTAGAATTCTTGCGTCATATGGTACGTCGCGCTGCTGCTGAGCGCGGAGTTGGGAGAAAAAGAGACGGTCCGGCGGGAGGCATATAGAATTGAAAAAGTGGCAGATTGTTTATTAGAATAGGGGAGGTATGATCAGAGTAGGAGCGAGTCTCAAGTTGAGCGGCAAACCATGAGACTGCTACCGCCGCACACTGGGGGAAAATGAGATTTTGCGGTCAAAGGTACATTTTTTGCAAAGTATTTTAAAACAAAAATAAACAATATAACGTTTTTCAGGATAAGTCAAGATACTTGGAAATATTTACTTTAATAAAATAATTGAAAAATTTAGTGCGAATTTATTTCTGTAAAAGTAATCGACTTTTATCAATTTTGAAGAAAATATTTTTAGTCCATTTCAAATATTAATAAAAAAAAAGTATTCATCGAAATCGCGATTGTTAATAGCCGTTCTGTATGTATTACTACGTAGAATTACACATAATAAAAGTGAAGCATATTCATTTTATTTCTATTTTTTAAATTCCCTCAACATGAATCGGTAATTTAAGGCATAAAAATGGAAATATGTCAATTTTTCAATTGATTTTTCACTAACGTAGACAGCCGCAGACAATCTGGGATTTGCATGAAACTTATCTTCAAAATATCCTTTAAAGTTGGTGAAAAATTCATTTGCTGATATTTGCTGATTTAAAAGTTATAAGTGAAATAAGAAGTCTTGTGTAGGATGGAAAGCGCGGCCAGCTGCTGTGCGCGGGGCGCGACTCCGTGTGCGAACGAGACGGTCGGCCGCTCACGCGCCGCACATCAAATCGTGATGTAGTTTATTGTTTCTCCACTAGGCGGCGAGAAATCCATAAGTAAAAATGCATCTTGTACAGTATAAGGACTAAGCAATTTGAACAAAATATCTGGGCATTTTTATTCCTTCAGCAAATTACGGATTCGCTATGGATGATATTTTTCGATATTTTCCATATTACGCTTATATAAATTTAAAAACGAATATTGCTAAATTTTGGTACTCCACATTGGATCACAATTATTATTTTTATTGGGTTTTATTCGTTATATTTTTAGTTTTTCGTATTCGATTAAACATGGAATTATTTACAATAAAACATGGTACGTTGTGTGCGTGGCTATGGAATAATTCGTCTAAACAAAAGTTAAAATAAATGTTTTAATGGAAAATATAAAAAACGAACATAATATTTTAGCGAGGTGCAATTGGTACAAATAAAAAAAAATTGATGGAACTTTTTCTGCCCGTTTATACAAGAAACTGGAATAGTACTACGCGAAACCAGCATGTTTTTAAGCAGAAATATGCTGATTTCATGCAAAAAACGTTCAAAGTTTCATTTTCATCAATTTGTAATCGTCAAGAAAGTAAGTCCAATATCTTGAATTCTATTCCAGGTAACAAACGTTTTGGTCGGCCAAAATCAACATTTGAAAATAGTTCTGACCGAACAAAAAGAAGGAGAATTCAACAGCTTCGAAATTTCAAAGAACAAATTGCGCAGGCCAATGCACTCAATAACAAAATTCAACCCGTTTCTGCTGTGAAAAAAGAAGTTCCGAATAATATAAATGGAAGTCTAGCTATGTATATGGATTTAGGGTTATCGAGGACACAATATGAGACACTTCGAAAATATAACCTGCATTTATTTGAGGCTAAAAGTTATCCACCTTACGATAAAATAAGGTCGGCAAAAGAAAATTGTTACCCTGAAAATATAAACATTTCAGAGTATGGTACAAGCGTCAAATTACAATCGTTACTTGATCATACAGCCCGTAGAATAATAGAATCACTGCCGACATCGGAATTAAATATTAAAAATGGTGACACATTTGTGTTGTACGGCAAGTGGGGAATGGATGGTGCTTCGGGGCAGCAGACTTTCAAACAAAACTGGACTTCAAATAACTTAGAGACAGTCGAAGATCTTTCTTCCGAAGAAATATCTGACAAATCAGTATTCATGATTTCATTTGTACCGTTACAAATAATTTCAGAGGATAAAATAATGTGGGTGAATGATCGGCCTTCATCGGTGAGGTACTGTCGTCCGATAAAATTTACCTTTAAGAAAGAAACGCCTTCCACAATATTACAGGAATATAATTATTATACGGAAGAAATTAATAATTTAATTCCGACGGTAGTGACAATAAATGAAATTTCATTTACTATTACCTACAACCTGCACCATAATTGAGAAGGTGTGTAATGTCCTAACCGGTCAAAAGTCCAGTGCTTCATGTAACATTTGCGGAGCAAAACCGAGCGAAATGAATAATTTAAATCTAGTAAGGGCATTGCCAGAAAACGAAGAAAACTGCAAATTTGGTCTTTCGTCATTACATTGTTGGATAAGATTTATGGAGTGTGTTATGCATATTTCCTGCAATATGGATTTCAAAAAAAGCCATGCTTCAGGGGAAAATAAAATATTAAAAGAAAAAAGGAAAAAACAAATTCAAACGGCCCTAAAATCGGAATTGTCAATCAGCGTAGATTTTGTTAAACAAGGATTCGGGACAACAAATGACGGAAATACGGCAAGAAAATTTTTTTCCAAACCAGAAATTGTAGGAAAAATACTCGGAGCTAATGTGAACTTAATTGAGCGATTTGCAAATATATTGCAGGTAATTTCGAGTGATTTGGAGATTGATGCAAATAAGTTTGGAGAATATTCACTAAAGACCGCACATTATTTGTAAAACACTATGATTGATACAAGATGCCTCCAGCAGTACATAAGGTGTTATTACACGGCAGTAAAATAATACAACAATTTAATGTACCAATTGGTCGCCTTTCCGAGGAAGCACAGGAGGCTAATAATAAAGTTTTTAAAAGTGCTTACAACAGCAGATCTTGTTCTCGTAAGGCCAACAATGAGGACGTAATGCAATTTTCTTTTTGTTGCATCAGATCTACTAATTAGTTCCATAAGATTGAAAAAAGATAAAAAGATTAAAGACTTGACGGAAGAAGCAAAATCATTGTTAAAAAATGTTGCCCCTATTGCAGAACAAACATTTTAAACATTAACTCCAAGTTTTCCTCTACACTCAATAAATCAAATCTAATAATGTAATGTCGAAAAAATTTATTTTTTGATTAAAATTCGGATAAAACTTATGTCATGCTGCTTTACTGTAATTTTGAAAAGAGAATAACATATTTTTGCCATAACAAAAATCCATACTTTGTGTGTAAAATACCGCACATTTTAGCACCCCGATTTGTGAGTGGCGAGGGGACTCACATTTAAAAAGCACCCCGATTTGTGAGAGGCGAGGGGATTCACATTTAGAAAGCACCCCGATTTGTGAGAGGGGAGGGGACTCACATTTAGAAAGCACCCCGATTTGTGAGAGGCGAGGAGACTCACATTTAGAAAGCACCCCGATTTGTGAGAGGCGAGGGGACTCATATTTAAAAAGCACCCCAATTTGTGAGAGGCGAGGGGACTCACATTTACAAAGCACCCCGATTTGTGAGAGGCGATAGGATTGACTTTGAAAAAAGCACCCCACAGGAGTCTAAAATCGCACTGTAACCTCCACGTAGTGGACTCTAGTAACAATTGTCTAACGCATAGACTAACTATAGGTCGTTCAGGTCCATAAATACACGCAAGAATATATTCGATTGGTATATACTATCATTTGCAGCAACATGTATGTTTATTATTTTTAATCCGCCATTTACAATTTTGGTAATATGATTTCTGATTCTTGTTGAGCGACTAAAAGATAAAAATTTAAATAAAACCTATGTCATTTGAAAACAGAACTAAATATTTGGGGTAACAAAAGCCAATACTTTCTGTACAAAATACCGAATATTATCATTTTTTTCAAGGTAATGATACTTTTGGCGCCCTAAATTATACGTCCCTGGCATGATATAATATTTATTAATCTAAAATTTAAATCAACAATCTATCTTTAAGATTCCCTCTAAATTTCAAGAAGACTGGTTAATTTTTAAAGACTTTACAAACTTTTGACCGCAAAATCTCATTTTCCCCCACTGTGCGGCGGCGCGGGAAACCCATGTGAGATCCACTATGGACTCCCGCGCGCCGCATTCGAAGGTAGAGTGATCCCCCCGATTGAGGAGGCAGAGGCCGAGCGAGGCCGCCCAGTCCTCCCTCCCCCTGGCGTTGGTGCGGGGGGAGCCCCACGCCACCGAATGGGCGTTGAAGTCTCCCCCCCCCACCAAGACAGGACAGGGGAGCTGCCTGCTAAGGCACTCCCCCATCCGCCCCAGCAGCTCCTCGTACTCAGCCAGTGAGAAGTTGGGCACGAGGTAGCATGCAATAATGAGGTCACCCCACTCCCCCAAGATGTATTCCTCCCTCCTCTCCATTATGGAGAAGGGGGGAGCCGTCCACGTTCCTCCATGTAATGGCCGCTAGGCCTCCACTGTCCCTCATCCAGCACGGGCTGTCCGGGAGAGTGTAGAGGTCCGCAACCAGTCCCACGCCCGAACCACTCTCCAGGAGGCACTGGACGAACATGTCCTGTCCCCCGAAAGAGTGGTTCAGCCAGGTTCGCCTGGAGGAGCCGGACGCCTACTCTGGACATTGCGCCTCTGTGGCCTCCGCCTCCTCCATGGCGTCGATCTCCATCTTGGCGTCAGCCGTCACGTCACCCCCACCCGCGCCCGGCTCCTTTACCGATTGCGCGGGGAGCGGAGGTCGCCTTGCCGGCCGCAGCCCCACCACCTGCGGGAGCGCAAACGGCGCCCGCCCTCTTTTTCTTGTCCACCGTCCGGGCAGCGACACAGTCCTTGGCCGCGCCTATTCGGTGCCCGGCGGACAGCCCGGCGTCCCTGCAGACCGGACAGCTCGCCGGCTCCGTACAGGAACCGGCGAGGTGTCCGACAACGCCACAGCGGTAGCACGCCCCGGACCTGTCCGCCGGGTTACTGCAGTTCCGCATCGCGTGGCCTAGCTCCATGCATCTGTAGCACTGAAGCGGCCTCGGCTGCAGTAGCCGCACGCGTGCACTTACCCAGCTGACCGTGATTCTTCCACAGTCAGCTATTTTCTTCGCGGACAGGGCCAGGCAGCGCACCCAGACGGCACCCATACCGCCGGGGGACTGCCGCATCTCGCCGACCTTCACTTCGTCGGTGCGGCAGCCCCCCGCCTCCGCCAAGGCGGAGAGCAGCTCCCCGCGCTCGACCGAATCGTCGAGCCCAGAGAGCCGCATCTCCGCCATCTTCGTGGGGCGCGCGACTTTAATGTCGTCACACCCCTCAAAGATTCTCGTCAAATGGGCCGCGAGGTTCGAGCTTTTCGCCTCCCCCTCGGGGCCCCGGACCTCCAGCACGAGGGCACCGGTGATGGCCCTGCGTGCACGGAGGTCCGTTATTCTCAGCTCCCCCAGGAGGATCGCCGCCTTAGCCTTTCTCATCGCTCGACGTATCCCCCGGGGTGAGCAGTGACCGCACTTCTCGGCGGTCTAATCTTGACTGCCCTTCGAGAGGGGCCGTCAGGGGTCCCTTTGCTAGGAACTCGAGCGACTCTACCGCCAGGGCCGCCACTGACTAGAGGGGCTGACGACCGTACTCGACGGCTAAGTCCTCTGCCTCCTTGAACCTCCACTCGTTCCTTTTGGTTCGCGGTGGCCTCGAGGGGTCAACGATGAAAACGCTGTCCCTCCGAAGCCTCTCCGCGACCCTCTCCCTCGCACGTTGCTCCAGCTTCTCGCCGATAAATTGTCCGACGTGCGAGGGGTAGAGCGCCGGCCTCCCCCGCCCCCTTTTGACCGGCATCGGGGGAGGGGCCGGAGTGTCCTTCGCCCACGACCTCGATGACACTTCCTCGGATTCGGCCATCTCGCAGTCCGATGACCGCGAGAAGGCCTCCTCCTCCCCGCACGCTCCAACGCTTGGGGGCGGCTGGCTCGATTCACCGGGGTTCCCCAGCGACTGTTTGTCGAGAGGGGGGCGATCCGATGTCGACTCCGACATCGAATCCTCCCCCCCTCCCTATTCCTTAGCCCGGCCCCGCTGCCAGAACTTCGAGCTCAAGGGGCCGAGCTCTCCCTTTCCTCTCGCAGGTGACGGCTCCCGCGAGGCTCCGGGAGCTGGCGATCCAACCTCCCCTCTCAACCTCAAGATGTACGCGTAGCTAGGCGCGCCCGACGAGGAACCATCCCGCGCCCCCACGAACCCTTCGACCTGAGGAGACCGCGAGATCGCCCCACGCAAGCCGCGCACCCATTCGGCACACCTCGCGAAAGCCGCACCCTTCCCTATGGAATGATGTGGAGGTAAGTCACTCCACACTCTCACCATTCTGCCTCCCACGACCAGTCTCTCCACGGACGGGCAAACACCGCCCAGCGTCATCGTTTCGGAAAGGACGTCGTCGCGATGACGCTGGGCAACTACGTCCGCCCCCGGTCCCGACCTCGAAATACGTCCGAGCGGCCCGGAGACAGGGACCGCGCGCCCTGCCTCGGAATACGTCCGAGCGGCCGCGCGGCCCCTCACCGAGAGGGGCGAGGGCCCTGTTTCGAGACTAAAGTCCCGAGCGGTTCCTCGCCTCTCTCCTACGGACGAAGTCCGTAGTCATCACACACACAAGAGAATCCCCAGTGCAATGAGCCTAGGCTCTTGGGGATTCTCCCGTCCCTAGCGTGAGCCAGCCCGCAGCCAGGAGCACCCAGCTGCCGGGCCGACTCGCCATGCAGGAGCACCCGTTCGGTCACTTTGAGTCCGGGATCCCGAGGGAACCACCCTCGAGGGTGCCCGAACCCAGTGGGAGCCGAACCCCACATCACGCACGTGAAGGGAGCAATCCTCCCCTTGACGATGCCGTGCCACCGGGCGTTTGTAGTCAGGGTCGCCATCCCCTATCAGTACATTGGTTCTTTCAGGACGGATCCCCCAGGAGTCCCACCCTCCGATGAGGGCGGAGTATATACTCCCTTGGGGTACCGGATTCAAATGATATACCCTGAATAATACAGGGTGTTCCAAAAGTAACGATAAATCTTTCGCAAAGGGGCAGAATGGACTAAACTGAGAAGAAAAGTCCATTTTGCAATTTTCGCAATAGTTAACAAAATATTATTTGTTAAAAACTGCCGAAAATTGGTCTTCATTAATTTTTTACTCTAATACTGTCAACTTTACTGAAAAACTGCAAGACAAAAATTATTTATTTTCTTCTCATAGAGCTGTAAGAACTTTTTAGAATTTTTTCAGAATTTTTTAATACCGTATTTTCTCATCTCGATAAAAATAAGAAAATGCAGTACTAAAAAAGTCAATAAAAAATTCTAAAAAATTTCATGGAGCTCTATGAGAAGAAAATAAACAATTTTTGTCTCTCGCTGTTTTTCTGTAAAATTGATAATATTTGAGTAAAAAGTTATTGAAGACCAATATTCGCGATTTTTAGTAATTAATATCTTGTTAACTATTGCGAAAATTGTAAAATGATAGACGACTTTTTAACTCAGTTTAGTCCGCTATATCTACACAAATGCGCATGGCAAAAACTTACGTATATATACATATATATACGTAAACTTACATGTATATACAGGGTGTCTCATTTGAAATAATGCATTAAGATTTCTCGAAAACTATGGTAATTACAGAAAAATATTTCAAACAAAAGTTATATGCTTCAGAGGGGGCCATAAGAAGATATCATTGATTTAACCATGAGTGGCGTTAAGGTTAGGTCAAGGTCAAATTGACTTTTTTAAAAAAAAAACACCATATTTTTTATATCAGAATCTAATAGCTGGTGCCGAGAGCTTTCCAAAACACTATAAGAAAATATCTTCTCATTAAGTACTTTTTGAATTATAATGCTTGAAAGTTACATTACCGCCGGAATTAGCATTACGCAAGGTGTCCAACAGATGATTAAAATCTCTTGAATATTGTTCAGGATCATGTCCTGGATAGCTTTTGTGGTAAATGTTTACCTTTACACAGTCAACCCCCCCCCCCCAAATGACTTCCGAGTGACCTTGACCTTGATCTTGACCATCAAGAAGGTCAAGGTCACTAACCTTTTCCGTCGCTCGTTATTCGTTAAAGTTATCAATGAAACAATTTGTATACACAGAATTTTGGAACACAAAATACATATGAGATTCTTTCTTTCTCGTTTCACATAATATTTATTCAACACATAAATAACATTTTGCCTATAAAATTAAAAATACGAAAGGCTCTCCAAATAAATTAAACGATTAGATACGTGATGTAAAGGAAATGCCAAATGTAAGCCGACACCAGTTGTTTATGTGTAATCCAAAATTTATATATTAAAAAATGTAGATGTTTCAACCCTGATATTGGGTCCTCTTCAGTGTAGAAAATATGTGTTTAAAAATAATTTCATGATGTCAAATTAAGTAAAAAATGCTCGATCGTCAAAACATCATTGCTCTATCACATCCCAGATTCCATTGTAAGAATTTTGAATTTAT